TCCTTAAGGGTTCGTATCAGTAACATAATCGCGAAGATAGAAAACCCGTGAAGAGTTCGCGAACGCGACGATATTTATTTAATTGAAATTTTTAATTTTGATTAAAACTTTTCCCATACGTTCGATCGCGATTCGTAATGCGATTGAACCGTCAGAAGGCGAAACGAATTAAGTTATACGAAACGAAAGATAGCATAGGAGGTACGTGCGTCGCCCGACGGACGCCATCGCCACCGCCATCGTTCCGCTCTCTCTCCTTGTCCCTTGTTCTACTCGCTGCTGGTAATTATCGGGCTTCCTGTCACTCAGCTTCAAAATGGTGGATTATCGTACTCGCTTGTCTGCTTTTTCGTGGGGTACCGTAAGGAACGGCTTCCCGAAAACTGATTAGAACACCCGAAACTGTCCCGCGGATACGGGCAGAGCCTCGGCAAATGATAGAACGTATATGAAACTACTTCTTAAAAGCGACAGAATTCAATACAATATAAAATTAACTGGAATTTCATTATGGTACCTTTGGTAGGAACAAATTAAAATGATATTTGTCGAATCTCCAATAAAATTGAAGAAACAAAGTAAAACATTGAGTTTGATAAAATGAACTTCATTGAACCTGTGGTAGAATCATGATAAAAGGATAGTTGTCGGGTCTCCCTCGGATTCTCCGACACCTCATTACATATTTTCAGTGTAAACAGCAGAGATTCGTAACGAACGTGACGAAAGAGAAGCGGAGAGGAACTGTGGCGAGGAGGAACGCGGTGTATACATTGTACACGGTGGTATAGGCATCGACGCGACGTGGCGTAGGTAGTTGCGTGCTGCAGGTAATTACCGGGTTCCCCGTGGTAACGCACCAGCGATGGCGGATCCCCCTGAATCCTGTAGGCTACAGGCATTCGGGTATTCGGCCGACGACACGGCCACGGTGTTCCCGTCACACCGGTGGTTTCAACGCCAATTAAACACCCGCTTGTCAAGGAGACGCCGAGGGGGTGGGGAAACGGCGCACCGGCCGATTCCACGTCCCCTGGCCCGATTCGGTGTCGCACGCGATGCCCGACTTGTTATTACCCCTTATTACTACCTTAGCTACCACTAAATCTTTCCTCTCCAAAATCGTTTCAAACTCTGTCCATCTTAGCCACGAAACTCTTCACGGTAACTCACTTTTCAATTAGATTCGATAATCAATGACGAACATTTAACATGCTGTATTCTTATATGTCACGAATTCGAATCAAAATTAATTAACAAATATTTTCTTAAGATACATAATCACGGTTCAATTATTGCGATCACTTAACTGATAAATAGAACGTATCCAACGAACAGGGAAACCGAATACACTTTATTACTTGAATTATTTATGCGTTAGAATGTATACGACCCGGATTCAAGCTGGCAGGGGCGCGTGAACTCGCGTCGCGATTATACCGGTCGTCAATTAAAAATAAACGCGGTGCGTGCACCGGAAGAATAAAATTCCCGGGGGAACAGTTTGACAAATGCGCGTACTGCGAGACGTATATATCGTTGGAGTGCGTATCGCCGGATCGCCACGCAGGCAGCCGGCAATCCGCGGCCGAGCTCCGAACGCGAGAAGGAACAGGAAAAATTGCAGATGCATGTGGGTCGCGGCCGGCTTAACAATAAGCGATAGTGAAAACGTATTCTGTGCGTGCCCCGATAACGGGCAAAACGCGACGCGAGCACGCTGGCGGAGCACTAACGTTCATACGCATCGAGAAGCCTCCTTCAGGATCTCGAAGTTGCAAGTTTACGCTGTAGAACCGATCGACTCGTGTTAAGAACACGTGTCACAGCCAAGAAATTAAAAACTGCATGTGGATGATATCTATTTTAAATCTGAAAAATAGTGATACATAGATAAATAAGTAGAATTGGAATGATATTACACTGTCAGAGTTTGACAGTAGAACACGAAAACAGGGCCTCGAAATGCACGTAAATAGCCCGAGGTCACGAAAATACGATGCTATTGGTCGGTTAGTTTAGCTTTTTTGCCAATCAATGTGTCACAATGTATGGCCGTCCTTCGTTGATCCCTATCCTCCGTGCCACGTACCGAACGCGAAACCATTATCTAAAAATGAAGTTAACGAGTCTCAATAATGTGTCCGCGATACTGTCAAAATTGTAATTCATTTTCCGGTCTGATAAAAGGATTACCAATCAGGGCGTTGCAACATTTCTGACACGTGTGAGATAAGAAGTAGAGCGTCATTTACGAAGTTAAAGTGATAAGTAAGAGGTACGCGAAAGAGTTAATCGCGAAAACTTAAAAACGGGTCTCGAGGACGTTTCAATAAATTAGCCTAAGCAGAGGGGACCTTTCACCCCGGCAATCAACCCCCCGCGGCTTTTGTAACGACGGTTCAACGCACGGCTTTAATCACAGTGGCGGGGGTTTCATCACCCATGGGGCTGTTTCATCGAAACTGCTTTATTAGCTTTATTCTACACGCTCGCTCATTCTTATCTAAATGAAATTACAATTTGATTGCGCGCTTTTGCGAATATCAAAAGAACGAGGCAATCAACGTAATTATTCTTTTTAAATACCTGGATCACATTTTTAATATTTAGGTACGAAGTACGATTACAGACAGACTCTGTCAGTAGCGTAGGGAACGGCTGCTGGCCGACATCGAGGGAAAGGAAAGGAGCAATCGGAATCGATGATATCTGTAATCGTAAAGTCGATATCGCGGCATCCAGTGGCTCTTTCGGTACCCGTTAGTCGTAATCGGGCCATGGAACAGTTTCGAGCATTCCGCGCGTTTACGATTCGATTTGCATGCCAGATAAGAGCCGGCGATGCCGGGATAATAACCGCTAAACCTTAAGAGCAACACGTGTAACGCTGCGAGCGAGAAACGTGGATGCTAATCGTATCGGGCTAGGTGGAATTTAAAGCCGCTTTCGGTTCGCTTTACGATTATCGCGGCCTTTTTTACGCGCCCGTTTCCGCGGTGGTCCACTTTGGCTATTCATTAACCCGACACGAAACTCATAAACCCGATTATATTTAGACTAAAACCGTTATGCTCGTTTCTTTCTCAAGCGTGATTAATCGGACGATTTTTTTTCGAAAAATTACACGACCACCTTTTCTATTAATATAAATGCTAATAAACGTACGGGTAGCATTTTCGCGTATTTCAAGAACTTAACCGATGATAAAGAGGATGGATAAGATCAAAGCGACCGCCCCAGACTTTTCGTACTTCCAAGCGTCGTCGCGTCATAGAGAAAACGCAATCGCCGTCGGTTTATCTTGATCGCTGGACGAGGACGATTCCGCTTAAAAGCTGCTCGCGAGTGGATAGGTACGCAACGAGTCGGTCACGGGATCCGGCCAGATAGGTGGATGGTCGATACTTTTTGCACACGGCCAGGTCTGCTGTTACGTAAGAGGAAGGCCGACGGCTATCTCGGTGAATCGGTGTTCCGCGCGCTAATTACCCATCGTGCCTGGCAAATGGCTTCCGCGGGTTACTCCGAACCTGGAACGTGCGCGAGCTCTCCTTTCTATACGTCGCGATAAGCGTGCAATTTAAACTGCGGAATTGGTTTGTTAACGTTGCAAACTTTTCCACTTGTTCGGAGCCAAGGAGGAGGAGGACCGAGATTAATTTCTATTTGCGTCGCGCCCGTTAGTTCCCGAAACGTTTCACGAGCCGAAAAAGTTTTTATGCACTGACACGAGCGTATGCCTAATACGGCAGGAGGTTCTTTATTAAAGCTAACCCAGAACTCCCCCTGAGCCAGTCCCGGAGAGACCTGCCATCAATTTGAAGTCCTGCCGTGATAAAATTAGACGGACAATTTCATTCGAAGACCTCGCCACGATCGTAGGAGCGGTGACGGTTTAATTTCGGTGCCCGAGGGCGATTTTCCGAACCCCTCCGTCGCGCTAACCGCTCGAAACTCGGCTTAACTCGTCTCCCCCTTTTTTCTTTCATCGCGGATCCATTTCCGCGAAGCGATCCGAGTCCGAGGGTTTCGCGTCACGATCTCGCGTTAACGCCGCGAATTCCGAAGCGTTTTGGCACCGAGCAGCTCGCGCAACATTCCCCAGGGAAGGACGTCGATGAAGAAATCAAATGGTGGCGGCACGCAGTCACCGGGCTTGCGTTGCGATTCCGCGTTTCACGGCACGACGCGACGACGCGGCGAGCGGCGCGGCGCGTCACGTGTGCACGGAATGGGAATACATTAGATTCGCAGGACTTTCCACCGCGGTTGATCGGCAGGATTAGATAACCGCCGATAGGAGGATTCCCGTGTATCGTGAATAAACCACGTCGCGTGCGCGGCCCGGCTTAGAAACCGAATAAATCCCGGAGTGCGAAGGCTACGCGCGCCACGTCGCGGGGCCTTATTCGGGCCCGGTGCTCGAAGACGCGCGCTGACGGCTCGGACGTCGCCAAGTGCCAAGACGGATGGCTGGCTAAAGACGAGACGAGAAGGCGCAAAGGCTTTGCGCGAAGGATAAAGCGTGCGTGCACGCACTTGCGCACGTGGAATAATAATTAGCCGTCGCCGGTGTTGATACCGAGTTCCTTGCAAATGACGTGTCAGGTGCAGCTGTTGCGCATCGTTCCGCAATGCGGGCCGGTGACCACCTCTTCCTTTTTTTTTTTTTTCACCCTCTCTCCTCCGCCGGCTGCTTATTTTCTTCTCGGGACCCTCTCGCGATTACAGCTTGGCGGTCGAACGTGCGAAATTTCAAAGTAAACTCGAAGAGTACGAGGAGATCGTCGATGATTTCGATGCAATCGGATCCGTGTACCTTTTATCCTCGGTTAATATCTCCACACCGCGGTGGGAGGATCGGAAAGTGCGAAAGTACATGCGAACTCCTCGGATCCCTCGCGTGCTACGTGTCATTAGACAGCAGGTTACCATCTAATTGCAAGTGCATCGTTCCACCCACGGTTCCTTCAAAGGACTCGCCAGAAAATTTATATACTGCCCGTTTGGCAACAACTTTTATTAGAACGTTTCATCGATCGGTGCTGAGATCTGGAAACGAGCAGCATCGGTTTTGAACCGAGGAAGCCAAGAGCGAACAATGTTGCGGCACAGGTCGTTCATTACTGGTTCGGTAGTAATCGAGGGACTATTGCGAAGAAAAGAAACGGCAGGTTGCTTCCCACGGTGATTTCGCGGCGTTCGTCACGAATCGCATGACGACACCAGACGACAACGAGACAGAGGAATCGTTTCGAGGGATCCAGGACGCCTTTTCGGGCGGCGCATCGTCGCGTTTACAACATCGTAGATATATTCTGCAGGAAACGGGCGAGGAGAGGGCACGAAGGAGGATCGTAGACGCTTCTAGCCTAGATCAAAACCCGTAATCACGAGGTAATAATACCCGATCACGGAAGATATTGCACATTTCCCCGGAATCACTGCTATTCCCAGGGAAGATGCCCCCGTCGGGGTTGTTTGGGAGGTCTTACTGTTCGCCGACATGCAATCCCGAATTCGCTCTCTCGGACCCGTCGGTCGTGCTCCGCCAGCGGCTCTTTCACGTTCTACTTTGCCCTCGCTTTCAAGCTCTCCTACACGCGCGCCCTTCCCCGAATCCTCTCTCTTCTTTTTTTCATCTCCGCGTTAAAGATTACACCCGATCATCGACGCGCGATTTCGACGCCGTGATACCATCCCCCTCGTGAATTCCTTACCTCGAAACCATTCGCGATCATTTGTAAGTTAGTCGAAACAACGTCGATGAAACAATCGGCGCCGATACCTTCGAGGAAGCTACAGAAGTCGAAGGTACGGACGCAAATAAAGTTAGAAAGTCCGCGGAGCGAGTCCCCAGGTAGGGAACGATAGACATCGGATCGAGAATGGGTAAAGAGAAAAACCGAGATCGACGAGAAGACGTCGACGAGATCCACGGAGGCAGAGCCGGACAGGTAGGACGGGTTTAACATAGTGCGGGCTTTTTTACACCGTGGCCCGAACAGTCCGATGGGCCCTTCTTCCGAAGGGCCAGTGGCGGAGGCGGTGGCCAGGGGCGCTCGAGGCCAGGGGAAAGACCGTCTCGAAGGGTGCCTCAGGCCAGCCGTACCATTAATCATCGGGGTAATTCCATAGATGGCTGTTGGCTGCTCGAAGGAGCGAGCGATGCATGCCAAACTTACCTCGTGCCTTGCCTACCGAACAACCTGCGAAAAGACGCGTTATCTCCTCTCCTGCCCCGGCTTCTGTCTTCTCTTCACTAAACATTTCGCTCTTTTGTCCCCTCCGATACTTCTCTCTTACGATAACCAATCGTTCTATCATACGTAATTACTGATTCGGTCCTCTTTACTTATATTTTCTTTATCTTCTCTTCTTCTTCTCTATTTCTGTTCAAATTAATACTTGCATACATTTTCTTTATACTCCGTTTCGTCATTTTATACATGAGAGTAAGTAATATGAAATCAAATAGCGACTACACGTTTTTCATATGTCGCACAGCTTGGGACAAATCCTGGCCAGTTCCGACTTGTGTTAATTTCCCTTAGGAGAACAAGATTAACAAACAGTAATAAATCTATCTCTTTTTTCATTGCTCGATCTGGCGTTGATACTGCTAGATTTTATATAATTTTTATATTTCAAAATGAAAACAATTTTAAACAGCTCGAGCATTAAGAAAATAAGACGTAGACTTATCACTCTCTTTGGACCTTGTCCTCTTAGGGGAAATTAATACTAGCCAGAGCTGACCAGGGATCATTGTCCCAAGCTGTACATCGAGTGTTTATTGATTTAATCGAAACTCGTATATCGTTCGGTTCTTACTGCGTCTGTCAAACCGCGAAATTTATGTGTTACACGGCCGCAAAAACGCGTGCCACTCTATATATCACTTTCGGCTAGTGGCGAGCATCTCCAGGGTCGGTCGATGCGTGCGGCGCGGTGCCACGGCGTGTGTAATTAATCGGAGAGGTGCGAATTATAAGGGGTACCATCGAGAATATTCATTCCGCTTAGATAATGCCCACCCTTACGGTAGTTTAATTAACGGCCACCCGAGTTATACGATCCACCGGTGTCTTTCCTATATTTACGAACCTATACACGATCCCTCCAATTACCAAGCCCCCGGCGAACAAAACCATTGCTTAATTATATCGATTTTGCATCTCGCATAACCAGGACCGAGATGAAATTGTCCAATATTTTTTATACATTGCTCGTTGAAGCATTCCGTTTGTCTGCTAATATCCATCGTTAACGAACTGGCTGGTGGCTTGTAGGCCGGTCTAACAGCGTGTATTCCGTCCGGTTTCTTTCCCGGCAAGAAAGCCGGTACATCGAGACGAACGGGGCTCGTCTCCGCGAGACTCGTTGTTAAATCCGCGGCGAACAACCCGAGCCGGCGGTGGATAGCCGCCGCGAACACGTCGTCGAACTTGAAATAACGATTCGAATCGAGAACCGGAGGGGGGACGAAGATGAGGGCCGAGGATCCGAGGAAGATCGCGCTCTCTCCCCGATTCGGGGGCAAAAAAGATCGAACTCATCCGCGGAGACACGGTGGCCACCGGGCCGTCCGAACGATGTCAGCAGTTTAATCAATGCATTTAGCCGAATTCCTGTCTGGCCCAAATAAAAGGCGAGACAGAGGGGGGTAGGGTCGCGTACAAAAAACGCGATGCGCGCGACGACGGACCTCTTCTCTGTATTCTCGTTTCACTCTTACAAAGTCGGGGCCCATGCCGGGCCCCACCACGCACCGCCGTAGTCGCGTCGGTCCCTGTCAACCGCCAAAAGTTGTTAAGTATTCCGCGGATGTATTCCGTTCCCTTCCGTCCCCCTTCGCCACCTCCACGTTCTTCGTTCCGTCTCCCCTTGGCCACGGACCGACTCTTCTTCGAATAAGGTACGTCAACCGAGGATGACAACAAGACGGAAACGGACCCGGGTCCCTCTCGGGCCTTCTTCCATTCACGTTTTCGTTGCCCTACCACCGACGACCCGGTCTAAATAGATACACTTTTTCTTTACTTCGATTCGCTGTTAGACATTCAGTTACGTATCACACATGTGAATCAGCGTAGGGAACGAATTCAGGCGGCGGTGATCTATTTATTTGTGATAGAAGAACATTGATACACGGATAAAATTGACGCTACGAGGAACGGAGAGTCGATCTCGAGGTTCCCTGTGCGGGTCGAAGCGCTATTTCATTGATAGTCAACGAGTCTGCCGCGTTTCCTGTTCATCTCCGTTATCTCTCCGAGCATCTCTCCTGTCCGACGAATAAATTTCGAAGGACTCGCGTCTCTCTACCGTCTCTCGCTGTCCGGCCGCGGAAAATCGAGAGTGGAGAACACGCGACGAATCGCTGTTCGAACGGTAAAAAGGCGAAAACCGGTTGCCGGCTGCTAAATTCGACGGTCCTAATAAGAATCGGCCGCGCCGCTCGCTTTTGTTTTGCCAATAAACCGTGGCGCGCCGCCGCGATATCGATTCTTTATTTCTGTTTCCCGAGGACAAGTCCGAGCTCGCAAGCTCGTTACGCCTGTCGGAAGTATAAATCAAGTCGGAAAGTTATTCCGTCGGGTAACTCCCCGCGGGGTGGCTTCATGAAAACTGTCACCTTCTTGCAACCTCCGAGATACGCGTGCTTACCCAATATGAAAAGTTGTCTGAAAAAACTTTACGCAAGTTTAAACCGTTTCCACTAAACGTAGTCACAGTCCAATTTATATGTAATTCAAACGTACTGCCTTTGATAATGCATTTTACTTAAAATTCTATGATAGCTATCATTAAAAAACATTTCCGAGTTCATTGTTTAATCGGCGACGCGCGGTTAATATGTAAAAGGAGGCTCGTTTGTTGGGTTGTCGTTTGGATCTCGGCGGATCTCGCGATACGTTGAACGCGATACGTAGCTGCTTGTCGACGTGCACGAACAAATTAGCGATCCTTTCTACCCGCGCGGCGGGTACGCAGAAACAACGATACGGTAGTAGAGCAGAGCCCTCGTAATACCCTGAGAATCTAATTGTGCCGCGACCCCAAGCACGAGAAGAGGTCGCGTTTTCTCGATAATAAAGAGGAAGAATAATCATAATGAGACCCGCGTGTACAGTTAACCGCATGGCGGGGAGAAATTATTGCCTAATAAAATAACGAGCCCCGGGAACGTTGTAGTGTAACATTGTGGCGCAATCTAATAATACGATCTACGTAACAACAATTCTGGTTGCTCTCCGTTCGATGCGTCGATAATAAAGGATCTGAAATCGCACACCTCGTGACCAGAATCGTTTCGATTCGAGGGAATCGCGAATAGACGGGTTAGAAAAAAACCGCGACCCGCGCAGGGCAAAACGTGCGCGCGACGGAATACACGGTTTTCGAGCTAGCGAGCTCTCCTACGGTTCCCACGGGACACGCGGGGTCCGAGTTTTGTCCCATGATCGAGCAAAGAACCGGCAAACCGGGCATCCTTCGAGCGGACGAGGCCGGACGTTCGCGCACGCACTCATCATGAACCGACGACGACAGGCACGTAGAACCTCAGTCTTCTACGTGTATCCGTACAGTCCACGCCACCATTTCTTTTCCCCTCGACCCATTGTCCTCTGTACTACTTTCAATGACATCTATACTTGAAGCGATTGGTCTTAAGAAAAACTATGGAACCAATATACGTATGTAGGTTCGTTCTTTCTTGATCAAATCCGGAACGCAATATCCACGCTGATGTGCCTTAATAAAAAAAATTAGGATTGAACTTAATGATTAAGAAATGAAAACTCTCGAGGCAGAGAAAAGAGGAAAAACGGATTTCATCAAGGGGAAATGATTTGTCGTAGAAATTCGTTGAAATACACGGTCACTGGTTCTCCTTTTTCCAGATAATGATTGCCTGGCGATTAGTTCACGCTCGTTCGTTCATAGTTTACTCGTTAAGCATTTAATTGCGTTCGGCATCGGAAACCGCGAACTTCCAAGCTGCGGATCGGTTAATTTACGGATGTTAGGCATGCCTAACCGACGATTTCTGTCTGCATAAAATGAAGATTTTATATTCCACGACACAGGCATTAAGTTATGCATAATAATTCTTTACGTGATCCTCGTTAATGTTAATGTTACGGCGTGTTCGCACAATCGTGTCGCCCTCGTCACCAACCTGTCGTTTACGTGAGCCCGTTAATGTGGGAAAAAAGGCAATTTGCAGAACGATCGAAGATTCTGATATGATAAATAGATAAAATTTGTTCCCACTTCCGTTTTGGAAATGAATTACAATATTCAACGATTTTTCATTCGGATAAAACAAATTCCGTAAGAAGCAAAGAAAGTAATTGATGAAACGGACTGTACGCGTACGCGATAATATA